TTCAGTTGCTGTTCTATTATATGCTTTTATATAAGTTTGGTTTGCAAGCTTCCTTAAGGACATTTAAATAAATAAGTAGGCATATGGATGCTCTAATTTACATGAGAGAAAGCACCAGTGAACACAGTAGGGCTTACTTCAGAGTAAGCATACATCGGCTTATATGAGAAGAGCTCAGGAATACATCTAGTCAGGAAACAGCCTAAGAAACATGTGGTTTATGCAGCGCCAGCCCACTTGTTGTCCCTGAAGTTATCTTTGCAAATGACTGTGAAACAAAACTTTTATATGTAATACTGGCTACAACAGCTCTATAGAATTCCGGCATTGTGAAACATCTGGAGTCTTACTTTCAAGGCCTTCATCAAGAGGGGATTTTCTCTCTCTCTACCAGTTACAAAGTGTGTCTGCACACTGTTGATCAGAGCAATGACAACTTTGCATGTGAACCTCTTGAAAAACAAAAGAGGGTGGGGAAATAAAAACTATGGAATGAAAGAGACTCTTCTCTTTTGTAAATATAGATTATGAATCATAGCATTTTCCATATGAAATTACTTGGTTAATACTCTTTTCATTTTGCATATGCGTCCTCTTGAATAGTGATTGCTTGTAATTTCAGATGTAAGGAAAGCACTGGATGATTTGCAGAAAGTCATGACGAACTTTGAATCCAGAATTGAATTCACAGAAGATTTGCAGAAGATGAGTAATGTAAGATATTTGTTATTGCATCCAAAGGGCACTTTATAAAAGTGATAAGAAGCATATGAACATAACAGAGGCTACTCACCTCTCAAACCACTTCACATTGCAAAGTTTGTTAGGTTCAAGGACCAGGAGCTGTTAAGACTGGCATGCATCCAGAAGGATTTACAACCTTAGTCTTTGAAGATCAGAAACAAACCCATCCCATGTCATACCACAAACTATTTTCAAAACTCCCCTCAGTTTGCTTGCTACATAGCATGGGCAACTGCCATTTGTGACGCAGAAGTAAGTCCAAAGCTCACTTACCACTATCTAACCAGATATGTGAATGCTTAGCAAGTAGTTACTATCAAATATACTTGCTAACTCTAACATTTTTTCCAATTAGGCAGCAGGTGATTTTGTGGATATAAGAGAAGTTGCTGAAAGTAATGGCACTGAAACAAAAGGTGAGGTTTTGTGGTTTTAAAATGTGCTCAACCATTGTGGGATCTGTGTTTCACATTTATATTATTTTTTTCTAATACGAAAACCACATGGTCTCCAATTTACTGTAGTGACTTAGTGCGTAAGGTTAGGTTTCTCTAGGCACTTCTGAAAATGGCAAGATACATTTATAAACTGAGGCACATGCATCATTTAATGTGATACCCTTATAACCAAGCTAAAATAAATAGAATTTTTGTGCCTCTTCCTTGAAGAGTCCAGAATAAGTTTCTCAGACATACTTGTTATACTGTTTTTCATCATTTCCCCAATACACACTGGAGTATGTTATAAAGGAGGGGTGGCTAGCTAGCCCTAGCCAGCATGAATAATAGTCAAGGGCAATGGCAGTTGTAGTCCAGTAGCAGCAAATGAACATTTACTGTAGAGAGTTTAAGGAATAAAGAAGAAACTCTCACATACCCGAGAGCCATTGTGGATCTTTCAGCCTTGGATCCGCAGCTGTTGTTGGATTACAACTCGTACCATCCCCAGCCAGTTTAGCCAACAGTCATGGGTGATGGCACTTGTGGTCTTAACAACATTTGGGGGACCCAAAGCAAAAGAACACTGGTGTAGACACCATGGGACTAGATGGACCTGTGGGCAGACTTAATATAAGGCAGCTTTTTATCTTCTGATATAGCAGATGTAAAGTTACTACATTGAAAATATCCCAGAAATGCTGTTTTTCTGGTTTTTTTGGGGGGGTGGCGGCATGTATTTTGGCATTTGGATAAACATCAGGTACTTTTTGCCATGCGACGATTATATAGTTCATTGGTGCTACTTAAAACTTTAGTAGTAATTTGAAACATTTTTTTTAATGTTTTTTGTCCAAAGTCCTTCATTACAATTGCCTTTTTGCTTCCTTTCCTTTCCTTTGTATTATGATGGTAATATAATTTTTTTAAACTCTCTTGCTTTGTTTATTACACAGGAAAACACAGAATTGCTCACAAACCTCATTCTAAACCAAAAACATTTGCTTTTGAGGCAAATCTTCAAGAAAATGGAACTGGCGAAAAATCCAGTGAGGACTTGAAATCAGAGGAAGACTTTTGGGCCAGACTAGATGAACTAGAGAGACAAGAAGAGATACTTGGTGAACTCGACAGGTATCTTAACAGTTGTTGGTTGGAGCATTCTGTTCAAAAGAAGAGAGAATTTGTAGGACTGAAGCTTGGATATTTATTGAGTCAAACTTTTCCACTTAATCAAGTCTGGGTTTTCAAACAGGGAAAGACATTGGTGATTTGTGTTTCCATTGTTGTCAAACATGCATATTTTGAACACTATCTCATGCATTGAAATTCTCTCTGAGTCTAGGACTGGCTACAGAATTCTGCTTAGCACTTAGAAACACTCTCCCTGGTCTTCCCTTTTTGGTGAACAAAGCCTGACCCAAATTTATAGTGCATTGCAATCCCATATGCAGTGTTGCATTTTGTATATCTGACATTCTGTGATTATTATACCAACGGTCTCATTACTTTCTGCTTCTGCAACAGTTTCCATTTCCAATCACAGCAAAAAGGAAGTTTCAAAGTTCTTTTCTTCATCTGGAAAACTTGAACTTCTGTAATCTTCCTTTGTTACAGGACGAGGTTGCTGCTTAAATAAAAACAAATTGACCAGCAAATACAGTAGATTTGGCTTGGGTGCTGATGTGCATAAACAGAAACATATACTTACCCGTTTTAGTCACTTTGATAGCGAAAAAAGGGAAATCCCAGGAAAATTGGGGAAGGAGGGAGCAGACAGGAAAATGGTAGGAAAAAAAAATGCAATGTTATACTGTCCCCACTTTCCTTTTACGGCAGAAGGAGAGTAGAGACAATATAACAAGAGATTGAACGTCAGCATTTGGAACACCCAAATGAAGTTTCCAAGGAGTCCAAAAAGTGTTGGGCATTAAACTTTTTCTCCATCCCCTTTACTTCCTGATCCCCCACCCCAATTTTAATGACAGCAGAATGTAATAATTTAAGTAGTAAGTGCGGAATCTTCTGGCTAACACTTCTGGCTGACACATATTTTCACCATAGACTTAAATTAGTTTTACAGTAATTCATTCCGCCGAGGGAACCATGGGATTTGTAATTTTGTGAAGTGGAGGACACTGAGAACATAGCGAATATAGGAAGCTCTGTTATACCAGGTCACATTATGTATCCAGTTACCACAGTATTGTCTACTCAGATTGAAAATGCCTCTCCAGGGGGTCATACGGAATTCTCTCCCATCTCTTGCTACTAAATCCTTTTAAATGGAGTTGCTAAGGATTTAACCAGGGACCTTCTGTGTGCAAAGTGTATACTCTGCCACTGAGCCATGGTCACTCCTAACGTTTCTCACCAAACAACAATTCCCGTGATTCTTTATAGGGAGAGAGGAATGACCGTTCAGGGGGAAGTAAACTGTTATAACATAGTAGTGCAGGTAAAGCCTTTGACCATACTGGAATTCCAGGACTGAGTTTTCAACATCTTTCTAAAAGAAAACAACAGTTGCTTAGTTGTACTTAAAGCACAGTCGAATAAATTCAAAGCACTGTGCCATAAAAGAGTTGAGATGAGTCTTGAGGATGAGATTGGATCACGCAGCAGCCAAAGTTCCAGAACCATCAGGTAGCTGGATTTAACTTGTATTAGAAAGTAATAAGAAGAAATTGGTGGGCAAAAAGTGCCAAAATATATGTGGAGTAGGTAGGGGCTTTTTTTGGGGGGGGGGCAAACTTTTAAAAAACCTTCAGTAATTTTACTTAACATTTACTTAGCAAAATTTGTATACTGCTCGATTGTAATAAAACCTCATGAGATTTCTCCTCAAGCTAATAATTGGAAGTTTTTGGTGGTTTCTTGGTAAATAGGAACAATTGGTGACATTGGAAATAATGGCACGTACGTTCCCATTGTTCACCACAGCAGCAGAGCATACTATTAGAAATCATAATTAGAAATCATAACAAGTCTGTTAGTGGCTGCTAGTCAGGATGGCTATATGAAGCCTCTTCGTTTTAGTAGAGTAAGCTGGGGAGCAACAAGAGAGAACTGTTGCCTCCATGTACTGTTTGTGAATGTCCCAGAGGCATCTGGTTGGCCATCATGGTAAACAGGAAACTGGGTATTATTTGTTTATTTGCTCTATTTTGCAGATTTATAAACCGTTTCACAGCCAGAACCTACTGAAGCAGTGTATAATAAGATAGAATGAGAGATAGTACAAAATATAGAAAGTCTAAAACAATAAAACCATTTCTACAATTGTACAGTTAATATTCCATAAAAAGACTCAGTCATGCTTCAGGGAACGCTATCTTAAACCAAAAAAGAAAAGAAAAAAGTCTTTAGTATCTGCATAAGTAACAAACTAAAAAAAAAAAAGGTAAAGGACCCCCGACAGTTAAGTCCAGTCTACTTGTCAAATTTCAGCTTCTAACTGATTATAGCGGATCAGTGCTGCAACACTAGAAGTCCAGTTTCCAGTACAAACCAAGTGTGCCTCTGGTGCATGTGCTACTCTTTGGTGTTATTTGTAAAAATAAGATAGTTGTCCATATCTTGCAAAAGAAGGGAAAGCCCTAAAAATATCCAAGCATCAGCTAAATGCTTATTTTATGGCTTTGAACTGGAACTGAATTTCATCCTTCCCCATCCCCACTCTAGGATCTCTGATGCTGTTGAGGCAAATGGAGAAGACACTTCCTCCTCTGAAGAAGAGAGAGAAGAAAAAAAGACAGATGTGAATATGGCCGATAGGGGGGAAGAACCTAATACTCAGGGCAACTTCCAGAAAAAAGTAACCAACTCAGAAGTGTTCAGAGACCAGCTTAATGGCCCAAATCATTATTGCAGTGATGATGATGAGGATGATTCAGCCATTGCTGAGCACGCCGTACCGACAATATATTTCTCTCATACTGTGGAACCTAAAAGGGTTTGTATTGCAAGGATTGTTGAATTCATATTATGGAGATTGTTATCAATTTGTAATGCTTTTCCTGCATAATACGCTGCTACTTTTACATGTCGAGAGACCAGGCTTATTTAGGGTTCTAACTAATGTTGTATTCTCATGAAATGATTAGGTAAAAGGGGGGCTTTTGCATTTCCAATCTAAACTCTTTGCTTTCAAACTTAAAAAGATCACATGTGAAAAGAATATGGTATTAAAATCTACATGCTACCCAAAACTGCTTAAAATCTTGTTGGCTTTAGGTAAAATGGGAAATAGATTTAACCAAGAATGTCCTTTTTTCTTAGTAGGCTTTGAGGGCAAGAAATGGGATTATGCCTCTTCATTTAAAAAATAAAGCAGACTTTGCTTTCTATCTGAAGAGGATTCCTACCATGTTCAGGTCATTGGAAAGAGTAGTCAGAAGGACACCTAGGTACACCTAGGACCTGGTATGATTGGATGTTGATGGAGTGTGATGGTAATGCTGTTTATTGCATTTTCTTACACTTTGGCATCTAGAATGTAAACTCCAGGGTGAGCTGAAAGACTGAAGAAATCCCATTACTCCACCTTTTCTTTGGAGATGTTAGCCTAACTTATCCACAGAAAGATGACTAACTTATCCACAGAAAAAATTCAGGATAGAACAGTTTGCCCTCAGTGTTGGTGGAGGCAGGATCTCATCACTCATAGGCTATCCCCATGCCCGAGAAAGTTGGTGCTACAACTCTTTTCTAAACCTCTGCAGATTTGCATTGGTATATCCCAAGAAGCCTGGACACTCTCCTCTCTTCCTCCCATATTGCTGAGACGAGAACAGATCAGTGCTGAGGAGGTTTCCTCTGGTCTAATGTTTCCTTCCTACTCCATATATGATAATTAAGGAGAGATGGGGAAGGTATATTGGAGCTGTTCTTTAAAAGGCTGGCTTTGTTCCCAGATTTAAATTGGAGGCAGAAAGTGAAATGAGAAGAGTTGCCTCTCCTGTTAGGACATCAGGTTTTCTGCCCCAGCCTTCTGACTGAGAAGAAGAGTTAACCTTTTGCTGCTTTCTCTCATAGCTGATGAACAACAATTTTGTTTAAATTTGGTTTAAGTTATAGCCCTGAATAGAATTAGTGTTTTGAAATTTATCTAGATTTTTCACTGTCACAGTGGATTTCCTTATGGCTAGCAGTGCATCTCAGGTCACCTTAAATCAAGGGTGCTCAGGGTTGTGTCTAGATTTTGCTATCTTGTGGTGTACTACAGCCTGCTGTGTCATCCAAACCCAGAAGTGTGGTTAAGTGCAAGTATGGTTAGTTTAAACAAGCCAGCTTCAGAAACAATGGTTTGAAATTGGCTTGTTTGCAGTTACCCACGACAAATTGTGGTTAACCAAAAGACTAACCACACTTCTGGGTCCACACATAACAAACCACTGTTAGCTGAAAACAGAATCAGAAGCTTCTAACCTCTCACAGCTATGCCAAAGAGGAGTGGATGGGTAGGAGCAAACAAGCCCAAGGCTTATGCAGGCAACACCAAACCACAGTTTAGCATTGCAGCCAAAACCACCCCTATGGGGGGGGGTGCCATAGACCTTAATATTTTGTTTGTTCAGCTGATTAAAGAATGATATTTTGCTGTCTTTGCTTGATTAAAGTCTGATTATTTATGACTAATGTTTCTTTCCGCCTCAGGTACGAATAAACACAGGAAAAAATACTACTTTGAAATTCAGTGAGAAGAAAGAAGAGGCAAAACGCAAGCGAAAGAATAGCAATGGCAATGGGCACTCAGCTACAGAACTTCCCAGCATCAAAACACCAGCAGACATTTATCGGTATGGCACCTGTAGCAAGAACAGTTTGGTGGGGTGTGATTCATTTTGCATAGTATAGCTCTAGAACAGTTGGTAATCTACCAAGAGCCAGAGGGCCACAGCTAATAATTAATCCTATTTAATTCCATGTAATTAATATAAATTATATAATGTATTCCTGAACCTTTTGTATGCCAAATTGCACCTGGTAGGAATATCTCACTTATTCTGTATTATTCATATTTGACAATTATTCAATTATTCAGTTAAATGGTTCCTTAAAAATGGCTTGGCCATTATGAAAATTGCAAAAACAATCAATTTGTGTTTCATTTTGCTGCTATACCTACTTAAGGCATTTAGCAGATATTGCTATTAATGTTTTCATATTGTTTTTAATTGCTACTGCTATTAATGTTTTCATATTGTTTTCATATCACTTCATATAAAAACAAAACATCTGTCTGTGAGTGTATTAATGGAGAAATTCTCAGAGCTGAAAAATTTCCAAACTACTTTGGGGTGGCATGTTCCTTACTCTTCTAAAGTGATTTACTTTATTGGCAACCGATCATATCCATGGCAGAGCTACTGAGAAAACATCCCATGACTTTACAGCAGCTTATGCTTTGCATGCCACAAGTTCCAGGTTCAGTATTCAATATCTCCTGTTAAAACGGCCTTCTTCAAACAGATTCCTGACAGATGTTGCTGGATTACAAGTGCCATCATCCCTAACCATTGAGCATGCAGGCTGGGGCTGATGGGCGTTGTAGTCCAACAACATCTGGAGGACATCAGGCTGGGAAAGGCTGCATTAAGGGTTGGAGGTAGGTGATGCTTGGAAAAACCTTGAGACATTGAAGAGAAACTGCTAGCAAGAATATAGACAATACAGAACTAGGTGGACCCATGATCTCTCTCTGTCTCTGTATCTCACTCCACCCTCTGCCAAGCCTGTGAAGCTCACAAATTTTTCAGATCTTCTTTCACTTAAATAACCGCACATTATTCTCTTGAGCGTGATAGATAATTTGAAGCCAAATCTGATTATTAAAAGCAAAAACAGTGTCACTTTATAAAAAGGTTCCTTCAGGTGGTGTCCAGTTTCATTTTGCAAAATACAAGTCTTTGTAAAGCTCTAATAAGAATGTTCACTCCTGAAGAAATGTGATAGGTATCCACTCAAAAGTGGCAGGGTAACAGTTGCGTTGCTGAATGTAATCCACCTACCTTGCATCTTTTACAAGAGTTCAGTAAGAAAGTTGACTAGGCAAAGTCATCATAATTAATTTGTACCAAAGACAGTGAAATTATTGTGAATTTGTCATGTGGTTCTCTGCCCTCCTTCTCACATAGTTTATTAAAGCTAACATTTTCCTTTTGCAGAGTCTTTGTTGATGTTGTGAATGGAGAGTATGTCCCTCGTAAATCAATTTTGAAGTCTCGAAGCCGTGAGAACAGTGTTTGTAGTGATACCAGTGAGAGCAGCACTGCTGAGTTTGATGACAGACGAGGAATTCTGCGGAGTGTGAGCTATGATGAAAGTACCTACAGTGATAACAGCGAAGGAATCTTAGTGGAGGAAGAAGAGGGGGAGCAGGAGCATCTTTCAAAAAAACCATCGCCATTATCAGGATTGTATGAGGTACAGAGAGAAGGTTCTTTGTTTCTTTTTAGGAGAAAACATTAGAACAAATTAGAAACCTTCTTAATGTTGATTTCATTTTTCGTAAATTGTCTCTTTAGCTGCCACCAGCTTATTCCTTGGGCAGAACAACAAAAATGTGCATTCCTTCATCTACAGGCACACTATTCTCTTTCTGACTAAGGCATGCCGGGGGCATTTCACAAAGGCAGCCTTTTCCCCATGTCAGTGTGATTAGAGCACAGGTGCCTCTGTCAGTGCTCTTTCCTAAGTCAGGTAAACCATTTATAAAATACTCTCTTGTGAACCTTGGCACTTGCATCCTAGATGCATTTACTGGGAAGTAACTGCCACCATTTCAGGGGAAGTACGTTTTCTTAGGATTTAGTTGAGATTTCCTCCTCAGCTAGAAAGAAACTGGAGAGTTCTGCACTCTTTCTTGCCTTGTACTCGAGGGCAAATGGATCAAAGGGGCCAGAAAAAAAGGGATACTCTGGCAGCAGGGTAAGTTGCTCAGAGGACATCCACCTCTGAAAGCAGCACAAGGAGTGGAGGCACACAGACTTTTTCATTGGGAGAGGCACATAATAACAATGGGAAAAGAGAGGGCCTTGCTTCCTAGGAGTGACTAATGAAAATCTGTTATTTAGCATTTTGTTCACATCTTGCCTACTATATGAAGAGCCATGCTGGATCAGGTTAAAATGACCAGCTGATCCAGGGACCCCTTTCCTGGAGCGGACAGCCAGATGCCTCCAGATAAGTTAACATAAGGCAGTCCGCAAGGGGACAATTCCCTAATGTACCTCGCAGTCTTCCGGCATTAAAAAATATATTGAGCTTGTCTGCCACTTTCTATAAAATCTTACTTAACTGTTGTGATGATGTTGACAGGGGGGAAACATGTCAACACGCAAAATAGTTTGTAGTTCGTACACCAGGTGTCAGCTTGAAGCAGTTAAAGGAGGCACAATATGAAACCTTGAAAGTGCAATATGATTGAAATGTTGACAGGCCCCAAATCTGCAAAGTTGTATCAGTTGCGGAGCTGAAATTTACTATTGCATCATCTGTTTTTATGTTCTTGAAGACCATTTTTTTTTCTTATTCCAAAACGTACATAGAGGTATGAATATCTCTCCTTAGAACACTAGCACTCCTTCTGGTTTTCTTTTGAGGAAGCTAGACAGTTTTCCTTTGCGGGGAGTTGCTGTTGGTTTGGTGGAGTTTTTTCTATATTTTTGACTAAAAGAGAGAGTGACGGTAATACACTTTGTAACCTATAAGCTTATTTTCAAGGTTTCCTTTCCTTGTAGGCTTTCTCGGGGACTGTTGTCGAGAAGGAGCCTTTGTCTCCTGCTTCAGCACCACACCCAGTAATCGCTCACCCTGCCCTACCTACCATTCTGGAGCGAAAATCTGAGGAAGTTCTTTCTGAAGCTTCAGAAGAAACTACAAAGAGGGTTTCAAAATTCAAAGCTGCCAGAATGCAACAGAAAACCTAGTTTCTGCTTAGACAATGGAAGTTTAAAACGGCAGGCTGCGTTGATTTGATACTGTTCATGTTTAGACCTCTGTTGATGATATTTCTAAAAAAAAAAAAAAAACAAATCGGTGAAAAAACACTTCAAAATTCTTCTTATTTTCTTAATATCCCTGTATGCAGTCAGCACCTTTGTATATGTTTGCCTTACGATAACAGCACTTGGAATAATTTTCAAAAGAATAATCTTCATAAGGCTGTGTGTGTGTGTGTGTTTAAACCTAAATACAGGCAGTTTTGTACCAGATGTGATGTTCTACATACCATATGGGTTGTTTGAAAGAAACTTTGCAACTTTCAAATAGAGCCAACAATTATATTTCATGATTTGCTTTAGCGTTTAAGACTTGCTCATATCCCCCATTGTTTTGTAGGGTTTGCTTTTAGGTGTCTGTGCTGACGAATCATTTCTTTCCTACTAGCATAAAACCTCTGATAACTTGTATAAACTCTATGAAACAGAACGCTGTGTTCGCGTACTTTGCAGGGATGTTTCTTTGATGGAAAAAATGGTATTTTGTAAAATTACACTTTTCAAGTAAAAGAAAAAGAAAAAATCTGAAATGTTGAAAGTATTCTCCTTTGGGTTATTATATACAGTGGAGTTGAAACATTTTCTCAGTTCCAAATTCCTTGAGCATGTTCTCTGACCTTTCCAATACAGAGCCCTTTACTCTCTTTTCTTTTCTTTGTGTATGAAACACCTATTAACGTCAATGGAAATTACGTGCTCATGGGGAGAAGAGCTTAACCCTAAACTAAAGGAGGTTTAGCCCCAAAGAGATCCTCCCCTTCCATTGTGCATTCAAAAATGTGATTCTGTTGTTGTGGGCTGTTCCAGGAAGCAATCGACCCTGTGCCGTTATTGTTCAGAGTTTGCAACTTGAATACAAGACACAGCATGGACATGTAATCAAAAGGAAGCAGTCTATCAGGCCAGTCCTCCAGCTGCACACTGTGACAGCATCCTGCCTGCAGCAAATGGCACTAGGTCGGGTTGCAGGATTTTAGTCCACTTACCCTTCTAAGAGCAAGCAAGTGTTGCATTATTTCCCTATTGCCATCCAAGCACAAATCAATGAGCTGGCTGCAATATCCATACAAGACCAGCTGCTTCAGTTCTTTCATGAACTGGGAAGCAACCAGATCAGGTCCACAAGGGGACTTCCCTCTCAGCTTTCAAAACCAAGGCCTATAAGTATGTCTTGCAGGAGCAGCAGCCTAGGCAAACTAGTGGGAGTAATAATTTGTGTAGTGTTAGTTGCCCTGACAGCTGTGGGCCTAGCTATGAGTCCAATAAATAAACAAAATGAAAGCAAAATAGCAAATTATCTTTCTCCCCTTTCAGCTTGGTTCACTTTTCCATGTTACACTTGTTCCCACGTTCTCTTTGCGAAGCTAATACTGAGCAAGTATTGAGCAGAAGCAGCTTCCATTGTGGCCCTAGCACACAAGAGATGCCCTGAACCTTTGTCTTTAGAGAAGGGGAAATCAACTTTCAGGAATTTAGTCAAGGTAGGCAAAGGGAATCGCTGCAGCTCAGTTGTCGAGCACACTTTTCGTGCAGAAAGTCCCAGGTCCAATCCCTGGCACCTTCACCTAAATGGATTAGGTGGTGGGAAAGACCTTTGCCCAAGAACCTGGAATGCTGCATGCAGCTAGTCAGAATAAGATGGAGAAATAGTTTGATCTGACCCGACACCAGGCAATTTCCTGTGTTCCTAAATAATCTTGGACCAGCCCTACCATTGGGCAGAGTGGGCTTACTGTTTCAAGCAGCTGATATTGGGTGTCATGAAACAGCAGCAAACTGTTTAGCTTTTCTGATTGTTTTTTGTATTTTATTATTGGAGAGGAGCTTGCCTCAGGTGACAAAATAGTATGACTGGCCTTGAGTACCATGTTCCATGACCATTGGGAGAGGGACACACACCATTTGTTGCTCTGCCTCAGGTGGTAAAATGTCTTCAGCAGCCAATACCCCATTCATTTACTCCAATTTGCTTATGTACTAAACAACCTTTACAGTGCAGCAAAAGTTGAGTGTTCTGTTGTATTTGTAAAACGGTGCTTCTGGTTCTCAGAGGGGAGCCTGACTCCTAAGAAGGCTTCTGCTTGTTTGTTAGTTACAGAACTCAGCCAGACATGGAAAGCTTGAGGACTGGTGAGTTAGATTGGAATTCAGTCTGTTCATATGCATGTCAATATCATTCTGGACTGGTGGCCGTTATGTGTTATGTTCTATAGGATAAGGAGCAAGTCTTTAAAGCAAGGAACCATCTGCAAATCTTACTGGACAGTTGGTGTGGTTTAATGTCTAGAGCAGGGGTTGTCAACCTGGTCCCTACCTAGTGGACATTTCAGGATTCTAGGTGGGTGGTAGGGGTTTCTACGGCACAAGCTGAATCCTTCCAATGAACACTGGTGGGTGGTAAGGAAATTTTACCATCAAGAAAGATGCATTAGTGGGCGGTAGGTATAAAAAGGTTGACTACCCCTGGGTTAGAGTGTTGGGGTGGGATTTAGGGAACTGAAGTTCAAATTGCCATTACATCTTTTGGGGGCGGGATAGAGGCTATGGACAGACTAATTAGTCAGTATTTCTCAGTTCAGATTGAAGTTGGTTTTGGGGGAAATGCATCAAAATGCAGTATTCCATAAGAAACTGTAAGAGAGACATGGATTATAGCTAACATGTATACTCCATTTCCCCAAATAGCGATTGGAGCACACTAGATGCAGAGTAAATAGCAGCCTGTACACAGCCCTGGTCTCCCTTAACCAAACCAACTTTATAGGGTTGTTGGTAAGGCAAAATAGCTCTCAGAGCTCTTTGGAAGAAAGGCTGTGTACAGATGTCATGAGTCGTTTTATTTCTTATTTATTTATGTAAAATATTTACAGGCTTCCTTTTAGGGGCATTTCTTCCCAAAGCAGCACGCATAAACGGCAGATAGATAAATCAAGATGATATACTTTACTATGAGAAAGCCACTCTGATCTCATCATAAGTCTGTTAAACTGTTAGGGAAAGACAGCATTTTAAGGAATACGTCTTTGAGGCTCACTTGAAAGTATGTAAGGCAGGGAAGCAAGTGTAATCCAATCAAAAGGGGGTTCTATAACAGCAGGGCAACCCCTAAAAAGGCCCTGGTGTGTTGTTTTTTGTTTTGTTTTTTTGCTTACCAACCTAATTGACCTTACTGACAGAAATGCAAGCAGGATCTCTGAAGCAGATCTCATTGTGTGGGCAGGATAATACAATGAATAAGAGCCATTCACAATCCTAATATCAGTCTATCAGGTCAGAGAAGGGAAATCCTGCACTGCTTCTAATTCACATATTTTTACATTGACTGCTATGTGACTTGTGTGGCCAGCTGGCCAGCGCAGGAGCAGAAGCATACAATGCTTTTCTGGAATATTGGTGTCCCCTCCCAAATTGGAAAGTTTGGAGTGTGTGAGAGGGGGTGTTCTTTGGGACCTAAGCTTGCAAATACACACACTATAATTGGATATCGCAAACCTCATTGGAGGTGTTAATCATTAGCTTGATACATGCTGAAATGTAGATTTTATGGCTCTAAAGCATATTGCGTTAGTACTAAAATAAGCCATCAATGCCAGTCCACCCTCTATTCACGGCTAAATATTTAAAGGAGGTTATTTATAGCTTCCTTAATGAATTCTTGGCTAAACAAAATGAAATTATGTCCTAGAAAAGTAGGAGCTATTTTGTAACCAGAACAGTGCATCTATAAAATATAGTGCTATGAATATGTATTTTAAATAACAAAGGGGTTGAAGATCTAATCTAATCTACCAGAGCTGGTTAATTAGAGAAAATGGGCCCCAATCTTAACTATGCTTACATGCTGTAAATCCCATTGGCTTGCCTGAAGTACAATTGCTGTGTGTGCATCCTTTTCCTCTTCCCTCCAGCTGCCTTTATCTGGGTCCATGGATTCGCCCCCCCCCCCCCGACCCTGCTGCTTTCCATGGTTGGCAATCTCTAGCCCTGGATACCATGTTGCAGGCAAGTAACAGTCTCATTGTGGATGTTCTATGGACACTAGCTATGATGAATTGCTCTGCCTCTGTGGTCAGAGGCCGCAATGCTTCTGAATGCCAGTTTCTGGAAACCACAGATGGGGTTTGTGCTTGGGTCCTGCTTGTGGGTTTCCCATTGGGTCATGGGGTTGGCCACTGTGAGAACAGGTGCTGGACTAGGTGGGCCATTGGCCTGATCTTTTTACAGTCAGGTACCAGCAGTAAGGGGGTACCAGCAGACTTGGAGGAAGGCCACTCACATGAAATTAAGCTAAAGGGCACAAACATCCCACCCCTGTTTCAAATAGTATAATGTGGATGTGCTCCTTCTTGCCCTCTCCTGTCATCTTGCCCTTGCTGTCCCCTCCTCCTCTGCCCTAGATTGCTGCCTCCTCTTTTTCCAGGGTCCCAGGCAGTGGGCACTAACTTTGTGGGCTGTTCGTATTCCACATTATCTTTGGAGGAAAGTTACCTTTTCAGAAGCACCAGCCCTCTTGGGACCGTACGGCAGATAGGGGTTGCGTGATTGCCTTGCTCCCTCGCAGCAGATGTTTCCTGTCTGTAGAAAGCTAATATAATGGGAAAGGGCTCTAGATTCTCTTTCTCCCTCACATGCTACCTTTCTAGGTGCACAGTTTGTTGGGTGGTTTATGTTGTTTTTAAACATGATGGGGGCATTAAAACACGCAACCCCCACCCACAGTCTGAAGTGACATAACTGTAGGAGCGGTGTATAAGGTGTTAATGTGTAGTTCTGCTTTTATTTATCCAAAAGGAGCTTCTAATAATAGGTGTAACCAGGGGCAACAACAACAAAAATGAGCAACCTAAACCCCTTGATAGGAATCAAAATCTGTGATACGAGGAACTGATAAAATTTGTCTCTATGTGTGAGCAGAATGGAAGAATCTCAACACTGAAATACTTTCAGTAGCACCCTTAAGAAATAAATATAGTTTGGTCTTGGAAGGACACTGAACTTTGGCACAGGGCCTAACTCTTCCCTACACTCAGAAATCCTTGGTATTGCAAAATAAGTATTTGTATTTATAGTTTTTTTTTCCTTAATATTTTATACTACTTTACGATTTTCAGTGTGTATCCCACCTTCCTCCTGAATGAAACTAGGGCTGCAGGTACATCAATTATAAAACTTTCATTGAAAGAAAATTGCACTAAAAACATGGATCAGGGGGTTGCCAGGAACAGTGTCACTCAACCATCAAGTGTCTGGGTACTATGATACATGTAAAATAAGTACTTTTACCTATGTAAAATAAAGAGAATTGCTGAGGGTGCCCTCCTGTTGAGGGAACGTTTCTTCCAACTATTAGGCAAAGCTACCCAATTTGGCTTCCGTTGTATGTGTGCTTTAACCTAGATTAGTGCCTACAAGTAATCTCTAGATCTGTGAATATAAAAACTGGCTAGTGTCTCCATTTCCCCCCCCCCTTTTTTTTTACCTACAAGGAAACGTGTGTTTTGCCTAAAGTTGGAGACAACTGGGTAAAAACTGGATTTTATATTTAAAAAAGAAAAAGTTGAGGAGCCAACCATTGTATAGTTCTTCAACACAGAAGTCCTAGGTGCAGCTCTTAACCCGCATAGCACCCAATAAAGCCTAATCG